GGCCAAAGTGAACCTCTCCACATTTTGAGCTGACTTCCCTCTGGCGTTTCTCACAGTAATGAAGCTGACAAATACACTCAAGAAGCCCCCACTGCAGCCTCAGCTCCATGGAGGCGGTGGGGAGCAGTTCACCACTCGCTCTTCGCATCCTCTCAAAGGCACCCTGTCCAGTGCTAGTGTGGAGACCTGGTACTGTCGCAGGCAGCACTTGGCCTGGACAGCCACACAGTCGCCCATGTTGAGGGCCACATAAGGGCCAGCGTCCTTGGTGCTCTAGATGCAGCCCCACGTAGGTGCTGTGGGTTGGAGAAAGCATCAGGGAAAAGAAAAAATATGAACTGGGTGTCAGGAAACTGATGTCATGGAGATTGGTTATTCTTAAATCGTTCGGTGTCTTTAGCACTCAGTTCGGAATTTTATTTCCTACCCCGGGTCTCATTCCTACATCTACAAAAGGAGAGAAATAAAGTGATTTCAGAAGCAGCTGCATTCTCTCCCAGCTCCCACAGCCACACAGCTGAGCAAAGTCCTTTCTAAGCCATGGATAGCGACTGCCATGCCCCTCCTTGGCTCGCTAATGGACAGTGTGGTCCTGACATTCAGAGTGCATATTTTCAAGAGCACACCAGGTTTGCTCTGGTTCTCTTCTTCGACCCTGAAGGGTGCTCAGCTGCATGACAAGCATTCGCCTCACTGTGGGGGACGTCTCCTGTGAGCCCCCATCTTCCAGAGACCACACCCTGCACTTCTGGGTCTCACACATGCTCACTGCAGGACTATGCTTCTCGGGTACAAGGCCTATGTATTTCTCTCTGGAAATCAGAACCAATATTTTTGCTGTGATAGTTAATAGGGGTTTCGCTAGTCACACGGCTCTATATTTAATGTAAAATTAAGCTAATGCAAAGTCTAGTTTCCCGGTTGCACTAGCTGTGTCTCTCCTTATCCATGGCTGCGTGAGGCTAAGGCACTCATGATCACAGGTAGCACAGGGCCATGGTGTCATCACAGAGATCTGCTGTGGGTGCTCTGTCCAGTGGCTCAGGGCATGGGCTATCTAAAGAGCAGTCTCTAACTGCTGATGAGGCAGAGACTGGCACTGCCCCGTGCACTTTCCCTCTTGTTCCTCTGCTGGCCGTGGGGGACATGAGTACTCAGCGTCCACTCCGAGGTCTGTGCTGTTTCACTGCGTGGTATCCGCTCAAGTGGCTCCCTACATAAACCCCATGGGGGGACGTGAACAGCCTGGAGACCAGGGAAATCTTTACAGATAACAAAGTTCTTTTCCTGTAAAGCAGCTGCATTCTCTCTTCCACTTCCAGTTCAAAGAAAGTAAAGTCGGCTTCCTAGCCAAAAATAATGATTAATACTGCTACTAATAATAATAATGACTTTGTGATTCAAGAGTTTGTACTCAAACCAAAAGCAGTGTCTGCTTCCTGGTGGGATAGTGGAAAGAAGGAGTGATAATCCCTGAAGCGTTTCATCTGGGGTTCCTCGTGGGTTTGACACATGGTATTATAGGAACCCCCAAAAATCGCACCCTTTTATAACAGCATCTACGCCATTGAGGACCTAAATTTGAAAGCCTGTTGCCTACAAAACTGCATCGGGAGCAGCAGAAGATTTTGTGTGGGATTCCTGGGCTCCGGCTAAAAGTAAAATACAGTGCTCTGGGTTTAGTCTTCAACTTAGGGCACTGAGGTTACATAGTTGCTCTGGGCACAGGTGTGGGGGATCCAAGTTAGAGTCTAAATCTAACAGTGAGGGGCTCTGGGGTTCAGGGTCCCACATTTCACAGCAGGCAGATGCCCTGAAGTCTTCTGTGTCTCCTTTTTACCCATCAGGCTGTGGGTTGTGGTTCCCATACTCACCCTAGGCTTAGAGTTCTTCTCTGTGATGATGGAGAGAGACCCAGAGATGATAAACTATTCAGGAAGGAGGGGAAACTGTCAGATCAGTGCCCAGGTGTGGAGACGCTGTGAACTTACCCCCTGGTCTTCACAAGGACCCAGAGGACGAAGGGCCAGTGACGAAGGACACATATGACAGCGTTCATCTCCCCACTTGCTCACAGTATTCAAAAGCGCGGGAAACGGAGATCAGAGCTGGACTCTGTCTCCAAAACCAACATGGGACCACAAAGGCACTAAATGAGTATTTCCTTTCAATCAGAGAAGAAATCATCAGAGATAGGTGTGCTGAACATGAAATTTGCCCCCTGCATCTGTTTCTGCTGCAGCCCCGGAGCCCAGGCACAGAGGCTGCCGGCCTGGCTGGGCACTGACACAGGGCCTCTTCGGAGCAGCTCCTGCCTCCCTCCCCATTCTGGAGCCCGGAGAGGACACAGAAGCCCCCTGCAGACCCTCGCGTGCACACCGCCCCTCCAAAACCTCTCCAGTTACGTAAAGACTGGCCGCCAGCTTCCTTCGCTGCTCAGCATCTTCCTCTCTGCCCACAGGATGGGGAGGTGGAACGTGGAACAGTACTCCGTGGGACAGGGTGGAAACAGGCCACGCGCCCGTCATTCCATCAGTGCCTGTGGGCTCCTTCTCTTCTTCCTTCTTCTCTCCCCGCCTTGCTCTCTTGAGTGACAAAGCTGCTCCGGCCTTGCAGAGCCTGGCGCCTGCACTTTCTCTGAGCCCAAGCTTCTCCTTCGCCTCCATCCCACAGCCACACCCAGGCATGGCCCACCTGCCTCTGCTCACACACACAAATTCATAATACACCGTGGAAATCGTTTCATCCTACTTCTACTTCTTACATAATGCTAAATGCCTCATCTTCTTTATGACACTTGCCTTGCACAAATGTACAAACACTCACACGCACACAGAGTACCAACACACATACCTGTGCAGGTCCAGGAGGCTCCAGACCTCTTGGCGACCATCTTGGTTGGTGTGCTTTTCCCAGTCGTCCAGCAGAGGGCAGCAAAGTGTCCTGGGGAAAGGCCCTTAACCGAGGCCGCCTTCTGGGAGCGCTGTAGAAGCGATGGGCCACAGTGCCCTTTCATAGAACAGGCCAGAGGCAGGGCCTTTCTGTCCGGCTTCACCGAGGCCCAAAGACAATCAACGACAGAGTCGCAAATACCAGGACAGGGCCTGGGATGAGCAATGGTTTAGTTTGGAACTGAGATCAGCGTTTTTCCTGAGTATTTAATTATCCATATTGTGTAGACCTGTTTGCACAGAGAAAATTTGCACTGGGGAGCATTGGCTACACTTGTGGCTCTGTCCCTTTCTCTGCACTGTGTTCACACTCATACTGCTGACATAAGACTTAAGGGTTTGAAGAGCATTTTAAGTGCTTTACAAATATGGCTCGCTTCTGTCTCATTTGCTGACTTTTTGCTGAAATACTTAGATTCAAAGACCACAATTCACTGTGATGCTTCCCTCATTTAAGGTATAGAGCAAATCAGAAACTACAGTAGAAACAGCCTCAACTTCACAACCATTCCAGGGAAACCAACACGGCCTACCTAAGAAATGAGTCCCTAACATTGTTCCCTGTGCCCAGGACTTGCATCCCAGCTAAAAGGGAAGAATACAACAGAAATGAGTATATAGGGCTTGCAAACATATGAAAATCATCATGGCTATATGCACAAAAGAGTCCCCAAGTGAAAACTGTCCAACACCAACACTTATAGCTGTAGAGAGCATAACGATCAATCCCAGAGACATAATTGTGAGAGAAAATAACCCATGTACAAGAGTCCGTACTACGTGATTCCTTGAATATAAAGTTTAGGTGCCGGAAAAGCATACAGTGCTAGAATCAGGGTGGGCCCTGCCTGAGTTTAGACTGAAATGTTAGAGGGTCCATCTTGGAGTAGCTTGAAAATCAGAAGTAGGGAAAAGGCAGATTATAACCTAGCTGAGAAGATAAAATGAGATGAATCCCAACTATCCAAGATAGAATTATAGGCTTCTGCTACTTCATATCAATGCATCTTTCCCAAAAATCAGCACGAAAAAATTCTGCATGAAGACAGCCCTTTGCTATCAGAGAATATATCTGTACGTGCTACTGGTCAACCCAAACTCCCATCTAGTTTTCTAACACAGAAGTGAGAAGCAGCAAAATATCTGTGTAGGAATGACATATTAACATGTTCGTTTGAAAATACTGTACATGGTACTTAATTATTTCACAATTCTGGTCACGAACCGAGTTGGACATGAATCAAATAAAATTCAATGGTTAGGTTCAACATCAACCTCATGGGGAAATTTGATTCGGTTCTTATCCAGTTCGGTTTATGGCCAGAGTTACCGAGGGAGCTGAGTTTGGGAACTGAGGCAGGACTGCACTGTTACTCCTTCATCACCAAATAATCACCGTGGTGGCTTCCAAAGAAGTGACCATTTTACACAGTGTGGTACAGCACCATGTGGGCACATTTCCTTTAATTGACAAGATGTGATTTTTAAAACTTCTCTGCAAGGATCAGGTGATTTGTCAGTTCTGCTTAGAATTTAATTATAACTGACTCCACAGATGGCTTTGTCTAAGGGGTAGTTTCTTTGGGAAACTAAAATAGCCTCTGTTAATACGACAACTGTATCTGGTCCTGTATTTTCCTGTTGATTTTTTACTTAACTTAAAAATATAGAGTTCTCATCAGACAAACAAAAGATGGCAAAGCAAAGTGAAGGGTCCATTAATTGGCTCGATGGCAGTGATTTCACAAGGCGTGGATATATCGTCAAAACATCATGTTGTGCACCATAAATATATATATAATGTTGTTAATTAGACCTCTGTAAAGGTGGAAAAATCACCACAATTCACTATTAATTGCTACGCCCTTAAGGAATATGGTTAGTAACTTAAACAATTTAATGTTTTCTTTTGTATTTATTATAGTTTCTATGCAAAATCTTTGGTGCAGCTACGTCCTTCTCCCGGAAGACGAGGGCTGGGCATGCTCTAGAATCCCCAGGTTCTGTGACTCAATGGCTGAGGTTCTGGATTCTAGTGCTGAGTAAAGAAATCACTAAGGACATTGCAAAGGACTCTATGTGACACTGGGGGAGAAACAGACCATGGTCCTGCCTACAATGTCTCTTCGCTCCTTCTCTTAATAGAGTTCTACCATCGAATCATGCAGTCAGTGCCCCAGGAGAAAAGAAGGATTTGTGTCACCACCATCCACCCAAATGCACATGTGCTGGCCGGCTTCCCCTATGCCCCCCACAGCTCTCTGCTCGACTTCCTATGGGGAGAGCCGGAACTGTTGGGGGTGAGTTCTCCCCAGTCATGGATCTTCTAGGGGGCAGAGAAGTCCTTTGCCCATCTTTGTTTTCAGAGATATCATTGTATACAGTGACTTTCAGGGAGGGAGTTGATTCTCCCTTTGGTTTCTTCCTTCACCTTTCATCTTGAGCCAGAAGCATCACTTCTAAGTCATTTCCTTATGGTACAAAGAACTGGGTCACCAGTGGAGTAGCCAATGTGGAGCCAATAATACCACTTCCCATCTTATAAATGAGGAAATAAAAGTTCAGGTATACATGTAGTTTTCCTCAGGTCTTAGAAATGGTTCTGAGGGCTTATGAACTCAGAAATAAAACATTTTACTTTAATAACTGCCCTAACTCTGAGGAAATCCTAAGGATACTGACCTTCCACTCCTAGCAGAGAGGAAGCAGGAAACTGGGGCAAATATCTCCAGAAGGAAGTGACTTGGGGTGTGGTGGTGCCTCCTCCTGCTAAGAAGCTCTTAGGGGCAAGGTAAAGCCTGCATCAAGACTTCTCTGAAAGCCATACTCAGAGCTCATAGTGAATCCAAGGTAGAAGGCACATTGCAGATGTTCATCATAAACATCCTTAGGCAAGAGTGGTCTGCACTGCTCCATCCGTGGCATAAGAGTGAATCACTACTTACGGTATGGTGTGGTGCCATGGGGGCATGGCCTGGGGCCAAAGCCCGGAATGCTGGTGGAGGGTTTAGCCCAAATAGAGCCTCCAAGGCCATGGTTGCCACACCTCCCCACAGAGTCTTGGCTGCCTGGGTTGTTGCTATGTGGGTTCCACGAATGAATGCGAGATGGAGACACAAGACACACCCCAACTCCCCTGCTATGGACTTCATAAATATCTCCAGAACCGAAATGAGCTTAACGCCAAAAGCATAACAGCTGGGCCTCCAAATAGCCAAAATCCAACCAACCACTTCTCAAAACTGAAATTGTATCTGTACTGGAAGTATAGGCATTTTTTCTTGTCACCATTCCCTGATTAATATGGTATAATGACTGCTCACGTAGCATTCAGATAGTCTCAGATATTGTAAGCCACCCAGATGGGAAGGGAACCTGGGGGTGGGGGAGAGGGCAGGGGCGAGGGCAGGAGAAGAGGAAGTAAAAATGATCAGGATGACGTGCACACGTTCCAGATTTTCATGATGAGTAGAGTACACGAGACGAGCTACGGTAGCTGTAAATAAAGACAGCTTCGTCAGAGGTCGGTGGCCCAGTAATCTCAGTGTTTTCTGAGGGTCATGAGCCGATGCCTCCAGGCCCTGCCGGGGATCCTGAGGGACAACTGTGCTCAGTGCAGAAAAGGGGAAGGGAGCAGGGTGTGAGGAAAGTAATCATAAGAGGCTGGTTGAGCAGGGGGAGGCGAATCATTTGTCATCCTGTTCTGAAGAAGTTTACAGCACCTGTTATACATCTTGGTCCTCATTTACACTTTCAGTTTCTCACACTGAGAAACAATGTGATATTTACACATTGTGATTGATTTGTTTCACCTGCAAGTATGGTCTCAAGGTGCATCCATTTACCTAGAAATGTCTCGAGTTTGTTTTTCTTTATGGCTGAGTAGTACTCCATTGTATTACACACACACACACACACACACACACACACACACACAATCTTTATCCATTCATTGGTGAGGGGCATTTCGGCTGTTTGAAAATGTTCAAACGGGAAGGGGAACTAGGTGAGGAGGCAAGAAGGTAAAAGAAAAAAATGAGAAAAGAAAGAAAAATAGAAACGAAGCTTTTGTAAATAAGGGAAGGGAAGAGGGTGGAAGGGAGGGGAGGGGAGTGGGAAAAGAAGAAGAGTCGAGGTACGTTAGGGACAGGGTGTATCAGGACAAATTCCCTGGGACGAATGTGATCCTTATGTAGACCTCAAATGTAGTGATAAAACTAAGTAATTTTTTAGGAAGAGATCTACAATCCAGACATGCATCCGTGTGCGTCCAACACAAGATAGGTTGGTGCCCCGGGGAACGTAGGAAACAAAGGACAACGTGAAGGATTCGAACCCAGAGATTCGGGCCAGCAGGGTGGGGACAGACGCAGGCTGGGATGGGCCGGCCCTGGGCGGGGACCTGACTCCCCTCTGTCCCTCACAGGCCGTCCAGATCCTGCTTGCTCTGATCACCGTGGGCCTGGGCGCCATATTCGCAGTCACTTCCACCGGCGTCTCCCAAGACTTTCCCCTCCTCTTGCTGACAGGATATCCGTTCTGGGGCCCCGCCGTCGTGAGTACTGGGAACCTCGGGAAGCTACTATGGGGAGTGGAGTGAGCTGGGTCTCGTCCCGGGCGCTGAACGCCACAGAGACACCCCCTCCCCGAACCGGGACCGCGGAGCAGCACCCCGGAGGAGGCAGGGACTGTGCTCCCCGCCTGCTCCTAGAGGCCCCGGTGTGACTAGCGCCCCACAGGCTTCTCAATACCCATCAGGAGGTTAAACAAGCAAATGTCCTGCTTACCTCTTTGCAAATACAGAAACAAAGTTTAAGAATGGGCAATAATTTAAGCACATCTATCTGGTGCGCTCCCGCTTCAGAGCCCTAGGAGTACTGCAGAGGAGAGGAGCTGAGCGGCGCTCCGAGGGTGACGGTTCCTCCAGGCGCGTGGGTTCAGGCCGACTCCGCAGAGCTCCCCGCCTCAGAGCGCGCCCGCCCGCCGGGCTCGGAGCGGCTTCACCTGCTGTTGCTTCTCGGAACTCCGAAAACTGCTCGAGGCCTATATGGAGATGTTATTACGGAACGGTTAAGCTCACACCATTGACTGCCGTCTCCTGTCCTCCTAACAGTTTATTGTCGCGGGATTCCTCACGCTGACGGACAAAACACTGAAGAGCAAACTGGTAAGTCGCTTTTGTGACTTCTGTCTAATCTCCCTCCTCTCCTCGTTCCACCTCATCTCTATGCGCAAAGCCTTTGACGCGAAGGTCCTCGCTGGAAGTCGTTACGCACCGCGTGGTAGGTCTGCCCATTCCAGTTTGCCAGCGCAGCCTCTGCTACCTCCTTCCACCTGCTCCTTTTTCCCGCAAGTAAATGGAAACAGTTGCTTGTCTGCCTGTTGGAAACCATTCTACATCCCTGTAAGTGTGTGTGAGTGTGTGTGAGTGTGTGCAGTGCTGGGGGCCGCCCCGGGCTCCACCCCAAGCTGGAGCCCCAGCCCGAGCAGTGCTGCCCTGGGAGTCGTTCCAGCCCTTCCCCTCCCCAGGGAACAGTCAACAAGGCCTGGAGATCTTGGTGGTCAGGGCTGGGTGCTAGTGGCCTCTGGTGGGATGGAGGCATGGATATTTCTGAGTATCCAAAATGCACAGGAAAACCTCCAACCACAACAGCAAAAAAATTATCTGGCCAAGAGTGTCTTTCAACACCAAGGTTCAGAAACTGCTCCGACCAAAACGAATCCCAGCAACCCAGACATTCTGCTCCCAATGCTGACTCCCCTTCAGCCCCAGCAGGGCCCCCTCTGAGTCCTGCCCAGAGCCAGAGGACCGCAGGGGCTTTGGGGTCACACTGGACCACAGCCACCTCCTGAGGCCCTGCCCCCCATGAAGAGAGCAGTCCCTACTTCTAGAAGTTATTTTGGGGGTTCAGTCAGATGCTAGTTAGAAAAGACATGATGATGCTCACACTCCCTTCTAAGTACTTTGACCTTGTGTGAGTTCTGCTCACCTCTGTTTTTTCTGTTGTTGCTGTGATCTTTTTTTTTTTTTTTTTTTTTTTTTTTTTTTTTTTTTTTGTAATCTCTGGACCCTAATGCAGTGCCTGGCACATATTTGGGCATACTAAATATTTATTAAATAAATTAATACTGCCCTGCAGTTAGGTGATTCTCACTTTTAAAGGTAGAAATTGAAATTCTGAGAGATCCTTGGTTCAAATTTCTACTGAAACTGAGGCTCGAAATCAAGTATAACCTCCACACTGAGACATTTTCTAACACACCACACTGCTTCCAGATTATGAGATGGTTTATTGAGATAAAAGGGAACGTTTTCTCTAGCGAAACCTTAGAGCATTCCTGGACCATTCTGAACCTTGGTTTCCTTCTGACTTCAAGGAATCAGAACTCAACCAAGCCTCTCCCTCTTAGTAGCTCAACAGAACACTGCATTCCTGGACAGAATCTAGAAAGAAAAATGCACTAAGCATTTATCACACGGTACTTTCTGTTCAGTTTAATTTTCATTTGTTTTACTGTTTTTACAAATAATTTTCCAGAGACAGTCTGTCACGCCCATGAACATCGTCAGCTCCCTGGCTGCACCGGCTGGGGTCATTCTCAGCGTGGTGAGCTACACACAGCAACACAAGCTCTGCCAGAGGCCGTCCCTCGAAGGAATGTGCGTTGTGGGCAGAACGCTTCTGCTCGTAAGTGGCCCTTGTCAGTGCAAGGAAGCCGCATCCCGGAGTCTGAAGTGTGCCCGGAGTGCCGTGGCTCCTTGGTTTCCGTTCTCATTGCGGAGGCTGTGCCAACGTTAAACTGGCCGCTGAGGAGGGTACTGTGGGTCAGCGGGCAGGGGACACAGAAGCCATACTCCCTGGGTTTAAATCCCGATTTTGTCTCATGAATGCTTGTGCCCCGGTGTGGCTGTTAAACACCGGATCAAAAGACCCACAAAACCCTCTGGCACATAGCCTGCCCGCCCGGGAACCTGAACTCCAGCTGCTCCCAGAGTCCCTTCGTGTATGGCGTCCTCACGGACTGATCTAAGACCTGGGTCCCGTTTCTGCTTTGGATGCTCCCACCCTAGGGCTGGCCCGTCCCCCTCTCTGATGAAGTCCCTGCAGCACTGAAAAGCTCAGGTCCAACGCCTCTCCACTCAACCCCTTCCTTCCCTTCCCCCGCCTCTCAGACCCTCCCGAACATCCCCTCACAGCCATGGAAGTAGATAATTCATTGTTGTTGCTCACCCCTCTACCATTACGTAAGCTCCGCAAAGACCGGTACCAGGTCTCCCTTGCTCAGCAAACTGCATATGGCCCAGCTTACAGACATCTCAGTTTCCTCGAGTGATGGTGACTATTGTCACTTTTGGATAAACCGCAAGGGGACAAGATTCAGAGACAGGCACCTGCCCAAGGTCGAGCGCGACCTTGGACTCAGGTGAGCCCAGCATGTCCCATCTCCAGAGTCTCGCCTTTTGGACTCTGTGCCATGCCAGGCTGCTGAGAGTGCGTTGTGGAAAACTGCAGAGCACACGCGCCGGCCACAGGCGTGGTCGGCCCTCTCACTCCACTGCCATCTTGGCCCCTATGGGAATTACAGCTCGTTAACTTTGCCTTATCAGAAAGACAGTGTCTAAAATACGAGTCCTCTCACATCAGGTCATGGAGCTGAGGGTCTGTGGCTTTTATCTTGATGATGATAGCGCTTGCATTTCCTCTTCCTCCCCGCATGCAGGGACTCTTGTCGATCTTGTTTATCATCAGCATCATGGAGTTCAGCATCGCTGTGACGATAATGTCCTTCAGAAGCCGGTGCTGGGCACAGGCGGATGAGGTACATCCGTGTTCTGAGGATGCCCGTCCTTGGGGACACTCCGACCTGAGGGGAGTGATTAAAGGCCGAAGCTCAGCCCCACCCTTCAGCACAACTGTTCTTTTCTTCCTTGAGCTGTCCACCAAGCCTGGTCACCTTTGTTCAGATGTAGTCCTTGTCTCCCTGCCACAGCGTATGATGTGTCAGACTTAGTGGACTGTGGGGAGCTCACCCCTGGGTTGGTGTAAGACAGTGTGAGATGGGTTCCTCACCGGAGAGCAGATGGAGAACAAAACACTGGCAGTGATGCTGAACTCCACTTACATAGGAAGAAACAGGCATGTAGAGAGGTTGAACCACCTTGCAGAGTCCCAGAGCATTGGGACCCTGGCCCAGGCTCTGCTGAGTTCCAAATACCAGTCCCAGCTCTGTGTCAGAGGGATGTCATTCCTGTGTTTCTAAAGATCCACTTTATGGAAGTCTTAATTTACAGGGCTGGAGGTTGAGCTCAGTGGTTCCAGCTCCTGCCTCACAAGTGTAAGGTCCCAAGTTCAATCCTCAGTATCAAAAAAAAAAAAAAAAAAAAAAGCAGTTAGAAGTATAGTTTATGGATAACATGTACCTATTCTAAGTCTGCCGCTCACTCCTCAGCACCTCTTTAACAATCACCCAGCCAAGAGAGCACATTATCATTAATGCAAAAGGTTCATTTTCTGAATCTTTTGTAGTTGATACCTTCATCACCTAGACTAGGGCTGAGGATCCCAAGTTCCACGGACATGGAACCACAGATAAGGATTCTCCATATCTGGCTTCTTTCACAAAGAAACCTGTTTCTGAGACTGATCTCTGCTGTTGTGTCTATCAAAACCCCTCATGGGGCCTAGGATTTAGCTCACTGGTTCCGCTGCCTGCCTTGCAAGTGCAAGGTCCCAAGTTCGATCCGCAGTACCCAAAAAAAACAAAAACTAAAGCCCTCACTTTATGCATGGGTACCCCACGATCCATTTATCTGTCTACTTCTTTGTGGCTGTTTGGATTGCTTAAAGTTCTGAATTACTGTTAATAAGTTGCTAAGACATTTGTATGCACATATATTGGAAAGTGTGATGTAATTTCTCTCAGAAAGTCATATCCAGGATTTGCCTGCATGATGATGTAGTAAACGGATGTTATAAGAAAACACCTAACAACGGCCTAAGGCAATTTTAACCATGTTGTCCTGTCCAACATATGAAATAATAAGGGATAATGACCTTCCATTATACCACCAATGAGTTGATGGTAAAGGGAGAACAGGTATTTCACTTCTGATTCTTTGTTCATATGTTGTTTCCTACTCACTGTCTTAAGTCAGAATGAAAAATAATTTGATGCTACAAAAAGAAAATAACATCAAAGATGATTCTGTTGTATTAATCTCCCCCCGACCTTGGTTTTCTAGATTGTGTTTTTCTTGCCTTCCGATGTTACAAAAAAGAGTCAACAACCTGTCCAGGAAGAAAATGCTCAACTACAATTTGATCTTCAAAATGACTCTTCTCATTTTGATATACCACTACACACCAAAACCGTTTTCTTTGGAAGTTATGCTTTCTTCAAATTAATACACTCAAGAAGCCCCTTAGCCAGCCAAGACAGGTCACCGCCATGCAAGGAAAGGCCTGCACTTTCTCCAAATGGACAGGATGACCTACCTCTACATGTTAAATTATCAGCTGGAAAAATTGAGCTGAAACCTTTACTTTACACATCAGAAGTGAGGTCCCCAGAAAATGTACATAGGCACCGAGTCTCCACAGAGGAACAACTGAAAGATGAAGACCTAGAATATGCTGTTGTACACACAAGCAAAGAACAAGCTCAGAAGTTTCAGGAGCAGGACTTGCCACCGCAAGCTTTTCCATCGCCACCTGCAGAAATTCTCCCTGCAGTTGGGGTCTTGCCACCCAAATCTCTGCTAATGCAAGCCCCACCAGTACAAGACATGCCATCTAAATCCTCTTCCTTCCATATCATAGAGCCCTCTAATCTGACATACAAAGACTCATCTTCTAAAGACAAACAGTCACAGGAAAGCCGTTCCAAGCAGTCCCCACACAAGCCATACTAGAGGAAGCCCTGACCTTCCATCCTGCAAAGGTCCCTGGTGTGGAGCACCCACACCAGCCTTAGCCAGATCTTAAGGAAGAAAACATTCAAGCTCAAATGCAGCAATTTTCAGAAATAATATATCAAGACATTCTAACAGAAGTTGTGGAACTGACCCAAGAGTGGAAATCTAAGGAGAAACCAAATTACACGAAATCCTCAGGAAGGGAGCTTTCCTTAAACCATAGAAACAAAGGTGGAAAATCCCCAAGGAGCCTTTCTTTAAGCCCACAAGCCAAACGTGGGAAATCTCCAAGACGGAAATCCCTCTACCAGAAGATCAGAGCCTTGCTATTCACAAAGAAGCATTCTATAGATCAGAAATCCCAATATACTCAAACATCAGAACAGTTCCTAGATCAGCACACTGAAGATTGGCCAGCCAAAGGGGAGTGATCTCCAAAGCAACAATTCAAAGACGGAGAAAATAAGGGTCAGCTGGCTAAAAAAGAGCAGTCCCCAAAGAAACAAACCCAACAAGCTAAAGAAGAGAAGTCCCCAGAAGGACAGCCCCCAAACTGGCAAGCTGAAGGACCATGAGCCCAAGCAGAAGGTGCTCCAATGCAGCCACGCCAAGACTCTCGACAGACAGCAAGTCAGTCTCCACACTGGTCACCCTCAGACTCTCTGTCTTTTGCACAGCAGTCCCAAGACTACGGAAGTCAAGGCTGGAAAAACAAAGATTGGAAAGTGCAAGAACGGCAACATGAAAGGCAGCGTAGCCTAAACTGGGAGTCCCAGGAGCTATTAGTGAAGGGAGCCCTAAAACAGAGCAGTTTGTATCAAAAAGTCCAGACCCAGAACACCATAGCCCAACATGGCCTAGGCTGGCAATTTCAAGACCAGCAGCACTGGGATAAGGACCAAGATTTTCAATCCAGAATGATGCTTAAAAACACTATGCAAATAGTCAGTCTGCAAACCAGAGACATCAGTCTAAAGGGCATGAACCACAGAGACCAAAAGCCAACAGACACACAATCAGAAGACACGGAACCAGACTATCGCCCTTCTTCTAGCCAAAGTGTTGTACAAGACACATATCCAACTTGTCTATCGAATATGGATTTCGAACAAAACACTTCGGTCTGCTCAGGGTCGACCAAGGACGATCTGAATGTCCATTCTATCTCATCTTCTCTAAAAGACGATCAACAGCAATCTGAAGACTCCGGCTGACATGCAGAATGGCCTCCCGTCATGGAACCAAGTGAAGGAGAAACAATAAAGTCTTCCAAAAACTATGTCCTCAATCATGTTGCCACCTAGTTTGCTCCCCAAAAGAGATGGACAGGTAGAATCCCCCCAAGAATCCACTCAGTCCAAATAAAATGACAGCGGACTAAACGTTAATCCTACATCACAACTGTGGTGGGGGTGGAGGAATAAATCACACAGGAGCATCCTGTCATCAAATTTAGTGTTTCCATTTATGGCCGACAATTCGTTTTAAGATCTCATATTTCATAGACCGATTTTCTACAGTGCTAATATTTTTACTGCCTTCTTTGTGTTTCACTAGGGGTTCAGCAAGTCGGCTAAGAAGAAATTTATCCAGGCTCTGTAAGGGCTCAAAAGCCAAGAGTCAGTAAGGAAGAAAATCCCTGCCAGCCTCGGCTTTTCCGCCAGCTCCAGCCCTCCCACCTACTCTCGCTCGTCCCTAAGTTTCAGCTGAGCTCGCGGCCACCAGGCTTGTGCGGTGTGTGGCAGGAAGAACGCACGGAAGGAAGTGGACGGAGCGGGGAGAACAAAACACGCCTCGAGTCAGGAAGGGGTCGGGAAGCCAGAGTTTGCGCAGGCGTGATGACCAACCCTACTGTGTTCGGCACGGCAGGCGCCCTCCCCAGGCCTCCCCTCACCGCTCCTCATTTCCCCACCCTGTGCTGCGATCCTCTGTCCTCGCACGAACTCGTGTTACCAGGAGCCTCCATTTACCCTCCCTCTCCCAAAGCTGCTCAACCTTTTTCAATCCTTTTTTCCTGCACGTTCTAGAAGTTTTCGTACTTTTCCTCCCCTGTGGGGTTTTCTTTTCCTTGGAATTAGGTAACTAATCAGCTAATTTGCTGAGTGCTTACCTTTGAACCCCAGACTCCCCACCAGTTTTCACACTTTTCTCGGAGCAGTGAGTTTTGTGAATCCCTTCAGTCCGGCCTTCCTGAAGCGCTCAGGGGCCACTGCACCTGCACCTGCCCCATCGCAGGACACAGCCCTCCTGGCTGACTTCTCATCCTCCTGCTGTTTTATCCATGCCACTGTTTTTCACATCATAGCTCATTTATTTCTCTTGCCGCCCTCCCTTTTCAGAAAGATGTAGACATAGATACGTTCCAAGAGTTTTTTCTCCCTCTGTTTCTCCTTATATAAGTATGGCATATTTATTCATTTTGAGATCCATAAGAACTGTTTTCTGGATACTTTTCCAACAAAGAAAATGAGCACACATACATACTTTATTTGTTGTACTTTAATTTTAAGCCCTGTAAAGCTGTATTTATTTATTTATTTATTTATTTTCATTTTGAACTAATCATAGACTCGCTCAAAATTCTGTCTTCAAAAGTGCAAAGATGGTGGTATCCCCTTCTCGGCGCCCACCAGTGATGACACTTTCTGTAGCCGTAGCACAACATCAGAAGCAGGAAAGTGACATCAGTGCACCAACTAGACGGCAGACTTCACTCTGCTTTTGCCTTTTGTTACCCTACATTTGTGTCGGTAACGTACGCACGTATTTCTAGCTCTCTTACCACAACCACGATGTGAAATTTCACCCGCTTCTGTGTTGATGCCCCACCCCTCTCCACGCCAAGCACTCATCCACCGTCCTTTCCCACTGTAGCACCATTTCAAGAACATTGTATGCATGGAATCACGCAGTATGACACCTCTTCAGATGACTTTTTTCCATTAAGCATGATGTCGTTAAGATTTATCTATATTGAATCAGATTTTTTCTTTTTAATTGCTGAGTAGTAGTTCACGGTGTGCACATACCATGACTTTATTAATCACATTAATACGACTTGATCTTTTTTTTTCCTTTTGGGATCTTTAGGGATGTTTCGTGTGCACACATTGTTCCAAAATTGACTCGCGTGTGCCTGCTTTGATAACTCTTGTGTGCATTCGGCTGTGGCTGGATGTGAGGCCCAGTTCCGCTCAGGGGAACCATTGCCTCTTGGAGGAAGCATTGTCTTCCTTGGAACTGAGACTTCTCAGGAGTAGAGTATATGGTGACAGGAACATGAAGCAAAACTGGGTCACTAGGGTATCAGTGCGTGACGCCGCCCTCGTTACCACTGCTTGGATCCTGGACCCTGAATCTGGCCATCTGAAGAGCAGGGCCATACCGTGAACGCTGACTCGGAACATACAGCATTTTAGAGAAGCTTTCTCAGCCTGCTGGGGTACTGCCAGGCCACTGGAGGTGCAATCTTCTTCAAAAGATTGCCCCATTATTCTATCAAGACAGATAGAATGAAATCCTGCTTCAGGACGTGCAGGACTTGGTGAGCTCAGTGAATTCCATGAGCAAATCTGCTGTCTTTTACTGTGTAGTGACCTCCTGGATGAGAAGCAACTCTGTGCACAGTGCTGTGCCCTTGTTAAGGGTCTACAGTTACACACATGGTAGTTTTGGCAAAGTTGTTGCATGTACAAAAAAGAACAAATCCATATCCAGAGTAAGTGTCTATTGCAGTGAGAACAAAACACAGTGTCACGGAAGCAATCCAGGAGGCAGGCTGGTCACACCAGGGGTTGGTGCTGTGCTGAGGGTTTTGGGCTGGCAGACGGGGCACGCATTGGTCTCCAGGACCAGGTTAGCCTCAGAGAGCGGAAATGCATGTGGCCGAGCCCTTGTGCAGCTTTCTCCTTACCACAATAGCCAGTCCGTTCATGAGCTCTCTGAGCAGTGACAGGGCGCCTGGCTAACAGCACCACATCCCTGCGATCGATAAAGTCGCCCTCTGCTGAGGGCATCCTTTGGTGATCCTTTACCCATGACACAGATAATGTAGGTGTCACCCATGCTGAGAGACCAACCCACGTTATCTCTTATGTCTCCTCTCGGTCTTTAGGGCTGATCACTACACTGTCGCCCATCAGTACTGCATGGTGCTGTGCTACAGAAAGGAAAGGTGATCGATGCCTTTATGCATGAAGCAACAGGGCTGGTGCACCCGGAGTGTGGCCAAAAGGTGTGCTGCTCACCCCACCAGTTGAAAATGAACCCCTTCCGGTGATCTTCACTAACAGGTACTGAGAAAATTCACGTCTGCCAAATCAACAGCATCGCGCCAGGTACTAGCAAATGTGTTAATTTGTTCAAATAATGTAGCCACATCTGAAACAGCAGCTGTAATTGGAGGCATCATGTGGCTGAGTTTATAACCACAGTCTTCCTCTGAGGCCTGCCTTCTGCACAGACCACGCAGACAAGTTCAACGGGGATGTGGCAGGAATCATCAATCCTCCATCTTTCAAACTACAGATGATGTCGCTGATCCCTGAGGTGCTTCCAAGACTATGGTGTCACTTTTACTATTGTCCTACACAGCGGCATTCTAGTGGCTTCCACATGGCCTTTTCTATTATAACTGTGCATATTCCACAGGTCAGGGACACAACAGGGATGTTCTACTAGCTTCCAAGACTACCAATTACATATTCAGGAGTAGAAGCAACCACAGGTTGGGTCTGGCCTCTTCTGAAACAAACCTGAGCTAAAACTCCATCAATCGTCTGACCTCCATAAACCTCTGTCCCTTAGTGGGCCTCGGCAGTATTGTGCATGTCCTGATAATACCATCAGCTCAAAGCCAGAGTCTGGCATTCTCTGAAAGGCATGATGGTTTCCTTTTGCCCAATTCAGGGCTACCCTTATAAAAGGCCACAGGTTCCTTGGAGGAGGACTGGGAGAAAAGGTAGAAGAATAAATTTTTTGTAATATGCTGGATTTCTTCCTTGAGAGAATCCCGTCTCCTACCTGCCAGGTGCTCTGGATCTGCAGACTGGCCCAGACCCAGGACTGACTGAAGAGCTATGCCTCTCTGTTCTGGTGACTCACTGTAGACCTTTGTTCTCCTAACCCTAACCCCTTCCGCTCCTACAGATCAAGTACACTTTCGTGAGGACTTCCACCCACTTCACTTTCGGAGCACCATGATCACCTAGGGAATGCTGAGCTCCCTGTGTGCCGAGCTACTCTGCGTGCAGAGCTTTCACTCTGCTGCCCACGAGGGCAATCTGTCTCCGTGGCCCCAGCCACCCCTCACTGCCTCAGGCATCCGGGGTTCCAAATTGAGTGGCTGCCGTCCCCCCTTTCAGGTCTGTGGAGAGAAGGAAATTACAAGGTCTTCAGAGGCGTCGGGGCTCCCCTCACAAATCTGCCATGGTGAAAGGCACACTGCAGAACTCTCCTGGGTTCGCGATCAGCTCTTGACAGCTTCAACATTCCTAAATCTTTGAATCCCTTCCTCACTCACAGCCAAGGCGGTCATGCGTGTCTGATTCACTCACCCAAGCCACCTCTTGGTCTATACTGTGTACAACATGGAGATTTGCAGTCACCAGGACCTGCACACTGAGCCACAGCTGCAACTTTTTTTTTTCACTTTGAGACAGGGTCTCACTAAGATCCTCCCAATTCTGCATAATGAGCCCATATCCATACAGTCATCCTGACCCAACATTATATTCCTTCTAGGATTATCCCTCACCCTTAGGATCCATTTCCAAACCTTCTCCAAAGTCCTGTCTAGGAATTAGAAAAGTCAAGTCATTCTTTGGTGTGCAACTCTCCTCCTCATGGCCATTCCACACCTCAAAGTGAAGGGTCTTCATTGCCTTGAGCTTATTATAGATCTAGAAGCAAGGAGGGGTGGAAGAATGTGTCCTGAGGTGAATCAGTGTTGTCTTACAGGATAGTTCCTCAGGGAGCCCATCACAATCTCTTCAGGCAACTAAGCAATTTACAAACTTCACACTTGAAATTCCCTGACTGTGAAGAGTGAATTAGAGAAGGGCATATTCAGTGAAAAGAATTTGTAAGAGGTAGGTGGTCTGTTAAAATGTCCTAACTAGCAAGGACCTAGAAGGTAGTCACAGCACACGTTTTCTTAAGAAAACGTGACCTCAGCAGGAAATACCAGAGGATGACAAGGCAGAGTGTCAGGAGATTCACGTCACCCTTCTCATCACTCTGTTCTTGCAAGCTAACAGTGCAGCTCCTCCCATGAAAATGTGGGGTCCATTTCCCTCCCCCATGAGACTGAACTGCCTATGGAATTTGCTTAAACCAAGGGGACACTATCCTGTGACTGAGCGAAAGCACCTGCAGCTGGAGAAAGACCAAGAGTCTGCCAACTTCCAGGTCCTCAGTGGAGGCCAACTGTCATAATTTATATCTAGACGTCCACCAACCCTCATGCACTCCTAGGTGAGGGTCTGGGGAAGTGACCGGATCGTTGGGAGTGATGGTCATGAGCATGGATTAGCCACTGGTGAGTTTACAGCTAAGTTTGTTTTGGGAGATGAAGCCTGGTCAGAGGAAATGGGCCACTGGGGTCGTGGTCTGCAAGGTCCATCTCCCTCCTCCTCCCTTGATCTCTCTGCTTCCTGCCACCATGCTATGAGCTGTTTCTCCTCTGCCAGTCCCCAGTCCCCTCTGCCATATTGCCCTGCCTTGGAGCCAACTGATGACAGACTGAAACCTCTACAAACTGTGAGCCAAAATTAACCTCTCCTCCTTTAATCTGTGGGCGTCAAGTATTGAACCTCAACATCAAGAAAGTAACTCAGGCAGCACCTTAATTCATGTGACTCTGGACGCTCCACCAGTGGGCCCAAGATGGTGAGATAAGCCTGTAGAAATTAGCTGAGAAAGACCAGGCCAGAACCAACTGCGTGACTCAGCAGTGTCCACAGAATAAGACTGGCTGTTGGAAGCCATTGTATTTCAAAGAGGTCAGTTACACAGGTGAAGCTACTCAAATTAGGTACAAAAAAAAATGATAGGCAACATAGATGCATATGTCATTCAAAAACTGCCTGATTAGTTTTATAGCCTGAGAGGTTTTGTCCTCTACTTGTTTGAAGATAGAAAATTGGAAATTATTCCAGTTCCCATTCACTTAAAAACTAAAATTTTTTGTAGATCATCTGCTCCAATCTGGTCAATGTACATAGAAGGAAGTTTAAACCAGCAGGGTATGTGGTTTACCCAAGGCCATAGTGTGTGCCTGACCAAACAAAAGCTACCAGCCAATGCCTCCAGTCTACAATCCTGAGCACCACTTACTTTCTTGCAGTCTTGACCTTTCCTGAGATTCTATCACTCTGTGACTCTATAGTTCTATCATTATGAGCCAAAGCATAACAATGGCAGTGCTCCAAACAGCCTTGGCATAGCACAAGAACATAGTCTAGACTGAAGAACCAACCATGTCAGTTCCTTTCAGCAAAATATCAACTCTGTCCACCAGCATGGATTCCAAAGCCACAAACAGTCCCGTATTTTTAGTGTTTCCTCCAGAAGTTGCTGATCCAGAATATCAGTCCACAGAGCTCAGAGGCAGAACCTATGAGTACCGCAACTCCTTCCAGAAATTATTTACTACAAAAATGAAAATCTTAGGGGTAAGTAAGACTCACCAGTATGCATTTTCTACTAAGGCAGGTGAGGGGACTGGGCTGTCATTACCCAAGTTCTTCTTTGAAAGTCAACAACTCTAGGGGGGAGATACAGAGATGATGGAATATCTCTACTTACACATCAACCCAATGAGAAACTTTAGTTATTAAATAAGTGTGCCAACACTGACACGAAAGCAAAAATCAATAAATTAAAAAGTCATATATTTAAGATTTTGCAAGTAGAAATGATGGGAAAGTTGGTTGCTTTTTGGTTCTTGGGGTCAAGTGTCTTTAGAGGAACAGAGGTGACCTTAAGATTGCAAGTCTAAGACGATGATAGTGCCGACCACAGAGATCAAGAAATTAGAAAGAAGATTGGGTTTAGAGGGAGAAAAGTGAGCTCAGTTTTGGACATGTTGAATAGGAGGCGCTAGTGAAATGATCAAGTGGGAATGTTGGACAAAAGGTAAAAATCTGTGAGTCTGGCTTTGAAAATGACATCACTTAGGAGTCACCTACCAAGCAGGTGACAGTTGCTGTGACAAAAATGAGATTGTTCAAGCTGTCAAGGTGAAATGAAAATAAGAGGACAGAGAACAGACAGAGGGTGACTGAATGCTTAAATTTTTTAAAAATATTAGAGTAAAAGGCACATTGCCATTCATCCACTTCAAAAATCCTCAGAATACACTGTTACTATTCCCGTCATGATTGCCACTTTCTGAAGCAGTTCTGGAAGTGCTCTTTCAGGAGTGTCTTTACAAGGTGTGACCAAATGTACAATGAATGGGGCTGCTCGGGGCCATCCACCGGAAAGGCAGCTCATATGAACACGACGCTGTGTCCTCCTCCATCTCGTTCACCAGGTCTGGCACCTGCGACTTCCGGCTCTTCCCCAGCGTCAAAATGACCAAGAGAGGGAAACACTTTGAATCCATTCAGAACATCAAGGCAGCCACAACAAAACTAAAGATACAGAAGAGAACTTCCAGACACACTAGAATAAATTCTCTTTTTTTTAGCATTTCATCACTTAATTTATTTTCAAATTAAGAAATTATACATTTGTTCCAGTGGTCATTGTCTTAAAAGTGTAATCAGTTTCTGCACACTCAGAAGTTGTTCTGGTGAAGCCTACAGCAGGCCCAGAGCCCTGCCCTGAGACAATAGACTTTGCAAGGCCAGGCAGAGGTCTGCCTCCTCCCCAGTGTCCACACGTGGCCCACAACCACATGCTCCAAGCCACAGCTGCCTGCTGGCAGAAGCAGAGGTCACCCAGCGATGAGTCAGATCCCAGTAAAGTGCCTATTGCAGGCTCAGGACGTGGTGTCTCCAGGAGGGTGTTGTGCCTGGCAAGGCTGGTACAGAGATTTAGAATTCAGTGCTCCTGAAACCTTCCCAGTTAGGGGGCAAAGAGCTGGGTGCTTGGCCCAATGCAGCCTTGCCTGATGACTCAGTCAGCAAGTATGGGTCAGCCCTGACAGCCTGCGTCTCAGCTCCGATGAGATCCCGATGCTGCCAGGCCACAGACCATGCTCCCAGGAGCACTGATTTAGATGGTTTTCCCTGTCCCCGTCATCAGGTGAAGGGATGAAGAAAGCACCTGGGAGGGCCGGAGATTTAGCTCAGTGGCAATGCACCTCCTCGCAAGCACAAGGTCCTGAGTTCGATCCCTGGTACCAGAGTGGCAGGGGGGGGAGAGAGAGAGAGAGAGAACCTGGGAGCATCACTAGGGGGCTGCTACTGCCTTTCCCTTATTTATAAAAGAGAGTAACTCCCAAGTCCTTTTAACCAAATGACCAAAACCCAAGAGAACCCAGCCTGAGCTCTTTCCTCACAGTGACTTTTTCCTCTGTTTACAGGCAACACAGATCATCCTTGGAATTTTGAATTTTTCCTTTGGCATTGTTTTTGTTTTTACCTTGGTAAAACCATACCCAAGGTTTCCCTTTATACTTATTTCAGGATACCCATTCTGGGGCTCTGCTTTGGTGAGTATGCTCGATTCCAGTCAAATGGAAGCCCAGGCATCCAGGGGCAAAGGAGTGGCTTGCCCAATGGGAGAGTGGGGCGGCAGGGACAGCTTCTCCTACGATCCCCTCTGAGCACACAGAGCATGCAGTCCCAGTGTAAACACTGAGTGGGCACTTGCTCAGGGCCGGGGGACGGGCAGGGGTGGGGGCGCATCTAAAGGCAGCCTCCTCGGAGCACTCAGGCGAGCAGAGTCCACTTCCAGGGTGTGCCCAGTAAGGACAGGGGACCCAGAGGCCACCTCTGCAGGACTCTGTCCAGAGACATTTCCAGCTTGACTGAGCTTGAAAGGGTATGTGGTTTATGAGGCAAAGACAGGATGAGAACAGGATGTCCGGGGCCAAGGGTGTCTTGATGGGAGGAAGCTGGCAAAGGCTGGAGGTTTGGGAGGGTGTTTTCTATACTGTGAATTGCAGAAGCCTAGCGGAGGGGTGAGGGTGAAGGGAGGAGGCCAGAGGAGAGCCAGAAGGGAGCCAGAGGCCGGGACATGGAGGGATGGGCTCGGATCTGACCTTCCTCCCACGCAATGTTGTTCCCAAGTTGGACTTTCCTCCGTAAAGATCTTGAGGGTTCTCCAGAGCGGGAGGCACATGGGCTTCAACTCCATCAAAGAGGACTGGCACACTGGCGTGTGGTGGGACTGGAGCCAGCCCTGGGGTGTAAACAGACCCGGCCCAAGTGTGTCCTGGTATCCAAGTGCAGCCACAGCAGCTGTAAAAGCAGGAGGACAAGGAAACAGAAGCCCAGTGAGGAGAAAGCATTTTTTCACAGTTAAATAAATAGCTGGATCCAAAGCAGCTTTCCAGTCCCATGTTTAGTCGACTGATTACTTCTGGACAGTCACATGGGCAGCTCACCCTCACCTCCCTGAGGGTGAGGAAGGAGCACAGGGCAGTTCCCATCCCATTGGTGGGGCCAGTGAAACACTGTCCGAACGTAAGAGATTTGTTCTTTTTAACAGTTCATTCTTTCTGGAGCCTTCCTAATTGCACTGAAAAGAAAAACTACAGAAACGATGGTGAGTTCTGTTTCAACTTTATTACAAATTTAAAACTTTGAAATAATCCATTCTGGTCTTGAAAATGAATTTGGAAAATACGAGACCACAATTCCATAACCCATCACATAGTGCTACCTATCAATGGCGTCTGCTCTCTGGTTTCGTGTAAACCATTAAGGCCAGAAAAGATGTTCATTCTCATCTTATATATGAAGATGCTGGGGCACAGAACAGTTAAATGGCCCAGCCAAGTTCCCTGGTCACTGCACAAGAGAACAGAGCTCAGTATTCCATTCTCCTGCTCACCCTTCCTCTCCAGAAGTGTTGTTTGCTTGTTTTGGGTTTTTTGGGTACCAGAGCTTGAACTTGGGACCTTGTGCCTGTGAGGCAGGCGGTGGCACCACCGCCCTCCAGAAGTGTTTTATAACTGCTACAGATAAGACTGGACAGGCACCGGTGTGACTCACAGGAAAGGCACCCTGTAGATACCTCACTGCATCAGGCTGGTATCACACACCTTTGATCCCAGCACTCTGGGAGCCCGAGGCCAGAGGATCACAAGTTCAAGCCCAACTGGGCAACTATGTGACTTAGCAAGACCCTGTCTCAAAAAAAAATTTTTTTAAGAGCTGGGGAAGTAGCTCAGTGTAAGGATCAATCCTTAGTAATCCCCCCCACACACACTCAAACATCATAATGGAATCTAGCAATACAGAGCATATGGAAATAATATAAAATTTTAAGTAGAATATTTCTCCTTTATTTGAAGAATCAAAGGCATTAGTTCTTAATTTTCAGCAAAGAATAACTGCTGTAAGTTTGTAGTTTTAGGAAAAAATCAAAGTGGCGAGAAACAATATTTACTGAAGCACCAGTGTCAGTAGGCCAGGACTGCTCCTGTGGAGATGCAATGCACCAGGGCCTCCTCCGGCCTGCGTGCACCTCCTCCAGACCTGAATGGAAACTCACTTAGTGTGGAATAGTGGTGGGAACCCGTGGCACGTGTGCCACCGCAGGCTGTATCACTGAAAGCTCTGTTACTGTGCTGCTTTGTGTTTTGTCTTTTTGAGACAGGGTCTCACTCTGTAGCTGAGAGTGACCTGGAACTCACTATGTAGCCCAGGCTGGTCTCGAACTCAGAGTGATCCTCCTGCCTTAGCCTCGAGTGCTGGGACTACAGGCGTGCGCCACCACACCTGGTTGCTGTTTCTCTTTTAATGTACGAGCTGTTTGAAGATAAAAACCTCAGTATGCAGGTTCAATTGCAGTGGTGGGACTTTGCAATGCATAATTGGGTTTATGTTGCAGTTGGCACTCGGTCCCTAAAAGCTTGGCAGTCACCCCTAGAAGGTGAGTGGCCTCTTTCTGCAGACCAGAAGTGAAGGGACTCCTGTGTGACCACACAGCGGCCCTGCTGGGCCGAAAACCCTGCTCTCCCACCTCCCGCCCTCGGCCGGCCGTCAGCAGCCCAGGCCAGGCCTGACCCACCCTAGCCCTTGTGTTCCGATTCTGTCTCAGATAAGAGCAAACTGCATCGTGAACTTCCTCAGCATCCTGGGAGCCCTCGTTGGCATCATCCTCCTCTCGTTCGGTCTCCTTCTGGACGGGAACTATCTCTGCGGCTACTCTCAGGACCCCGGGCCGAGCCAGGCAGTCACTGTCCTGTTCATGGTGAGTGGCTGTGCTTTGACAGAGAGAAGAGAGGGTTTAGTCCAGCAGCTCTACCCACATGCTCTGCGAACCATCCCCATAGTGCTGTTTTCTTCCCCTGGAGCCCGAGATGTGACAGACGGCACCAAGGGCTGCACACATCGTAACTCCCCTCTAAGGCCTCCCCACCAGTGGCTGAGGCAAAAGTCACGCCCAAGTGAGCATAACGCGGAGAGTCACCGAGAGGAAACCTCAGGCTTGGCAGCACGGCCGAGTTCGCGAGCAACACGGCCAGGGTGTTGCTGTGGATTTTTTGGTCAGTGTGGGCTTCTGATGAAGTGCGAGAGATTGAAAACGGCCGTTTATTCTGCTCTCTTCAAAACAGTTTAAGAGAAGGGATTTATTTGTGGGGTGCACTTGTAGCCCACGGCCGGCCAACTCCAAGCCACGACCGCAGGAGGAAGAGGCTGGCAGAGGAAAGCGCTCAGGGATCAGGGAGCCAAACGCCCTCCCGGGTCACCCCGGTGCCCACCTCTGCTCCTAACACAGGCACCGGCTGCCTGGTGACCCAGGCCTCTCCCACCCACGCGGTCCTGAGGCTCCCAGGGGACGTCTAGGAACAAATCGAAGCCCCAAGCACATCCCCAGCAACAGCCACGGACACTTCCAAGGAAGATACTGTGCGTCCAGCTGGTGACTCTGAGGTGCTCGGGCCTCGCGTGTGCTCAGCTGTCCTTCGAAACATCTGCTCCTACAGTTTCCCAAAAGTTATAGCTCAGACATAATAGAGAGGTGGGTGGTTTTAGTAATACGCATCCGGCAAGGCTCAGCTGTAGGCTTTCTTCAGTGATGTTTTCAGAATAAACAATCTTTTAACAATAAATGTAAAGAATTATTAGATTAGATGGCAAGCAAGGGAAGGCAGTCCACACCTATTAATAGAAAACACTGAAAATTAAATTCATCGCCGGAATCCTTCCATGAGTAGACAGCGGTCTTATCTCTGGAAAAGGAAAAGACAAGAAAAGAGGAGGAAAGGAAGGAAAGGGGAGGG